CCACCATTCTTGGAGAATGGTCATTCTATCAAAATCATTCCACCTTTTCACAAAAGGAATGACCATTCCATTTCAACTTTAGAAAAATACAAGCTAAAAAAATATTAAAAAATAAAACCTAACAAATTATAAACCCACGCATCACCATCTCCTCCATCAAACAAACCGTCGACATCATCACCTCTATCAAACCCACAGCCGGCATCATCCCACCGCCAGCATCATCACCTTTATCAAACCCACCGCCGGCATCATCATCTCCTCTATCAAACCCACCGCCGGCATCATCACCTCCTCCATCAAACCGCCGGCGTCATCATCTCCTCCATCAAACCCATCACCGGCATCATCATCTCCTCCATCAAACCCACCGCCTGATCTTGAACTTCAAAGTGATGAAACCAAGACACAAAAAAAAATCAAAAGTAGATCTGAAGCTTTTTTGTTTTTTGGTAAGTTAAAAAAAATAAATAAATAAAATAAAAAAAGAAGATCTGAAGCTTTTTCGTGATACTTTCCAAATCTGTTTACATAAGCTTTTTCATTGATTTTGTGAAAGAATTGCTGAAACCATTCTTTCCAAATCAGATCCGTCCTTACCCAATCGCACTGAAGTTTTCTCACCCCAATCTCCAATACTTTCTCTCTACTTTCTCTCTCTATATGTTGCCCCAATTTCATTCTTACATACCTATTTCTATCCACTGGATTGGAAAAAATTTGATGTTAATATTTTAGTTAATTTATTTATTAATGATAAAGATAATTTGGAGAAAACAATATAAATGATGAATAAGGTAAAACATTATAAATTTAATCCATTTTTATTTTTAGTCCAACCAAACAAATAAATGAAAATTATTATTTTACTTTTATACATTCCATTCTATGTTTGCAATCAAACAAGAGAATGGGAATCATAATTCCCACTCTATTCCATTCTCACCTCTATTCCCATTCCATTCCAATTCATTCCACCACACCAAATTAGCCCTTAAAACTCACGTGAATCCTCTTAGTGCTGGCATGTTGCATGTGTGACAAAACCTCCCAAGCAAACAGACGGGACGTGATATTAGGGTAGATCGAATTCCTTTTTAATTAGAGCACGTCCAAGAACCAATTGTGCAAGAACGAATCCAACCTCCTCCTCTCCCAAAAGAGAGGTGATTTACTAATATGAAAGCAAAAGCATAATTTCATATTGTAGGGTGTTTATCACTGTTATTGTCATGTTCATTATGGTACTTATTAGGGAGATCTTGTCTTACATCAAATATGAGAACTCTAATTCACATTTTTCAGTCTGCCATTAAAGCATCTCCAACGGTCTGTTAAATTTTTTTTTTTTTTTTTTTTGTATAAAATATACACCACCACATATGATTTATAAATATTTTTCATCTCTAACAGTCTGTCAAAATACACTGCCACATCACAAATGTGTAAAAGGGTTATGTAAAACTGGCACATCACCAATGTGTAAAAGGGTTGTGTATTTTTCACAGCCTTTTTACACATCCACGTAAGCACTTGAGGTTCTCTTTCTTCTCTCTCATTCCTTTACGCCTCTTTGTTTCTCACTTTTAAAGCGCCATGGAGAAGAATCTACAACTGGCTGTTCGACCATCTTTTATTTTTATTTTTTTCCTTTTTAATAAAAATAGTTTGATTCATTACTTTTGTTTCATCTTATCTTCTGTAATCATCGTTGTAGATTCTAGGTTTTTTTTTAAATATTTTATCTTTTTATATTCTATTCTAATGAGATAAATATATACTAGCCAAAGATTATATATATATATATAAATCACAATTTTATATAATTGTTGTTTGATGCAATTATACAAATTATTATTATTTTTTTCTTTTTTGGTGATTAGTCAATTTAATCGCAATTGTTGTATATTTTTGGTTTATGTGGAAAGTGAAATATAGAGGGAAATTATTATTTTTTTCCTAATTGAGGAGGATTGGGACATGAGGTTTACTAGCAAAAAAGTAAATGAATTTAAAAAATTTCTAAAAGTTATGTAAGGCCTTAGGTATGACACGCTTAGTTGTTATTGGGGAATATTTTTTTACATAAAAAGTAAAAAACAACCGTTAGAGTTAAAAATAAGTAGTATAAAATTTTTGTGTAAATCTACTCTGACACATCAAATTTACACAAAAATATATACACAACGGTTGAAAATGCTCTTAAATATGGTGGTGGGTTGATGGATGAATTATACTTTTGGATCTGAAAACAAGCACCCCACATGTTAAGTTTGTACCTAACTTTAAAGTATCCCCTCTATAACTGTCTCTAGGGGTGACTATGGGTGGGATCGGATTAGGTCCTAATCCTATCAGATTCCTATAGATCGGGAAAAATCCAATCCAATCCAATCCGTTGCTTTATGAATTGGATCGGATTAAACCTTTTTGCAGTGATATGATTGGTTTCATGGATTGCATTTTTTTTTTTTTATAAATAGCTCAATATTATTATTTTTAACCATAACTGAATTTTCAACCTTTAATAAAACTTGAAAGTTAGTAAGTGTTTAGGGTTACAAGTTTCTAAAACTTAAAATAATTAAAGAATAAAGAAAATAGAAATAGTGTATATATATACTCATTATTTTTTATATATAAATTTGAACGGATCGGTTATATTAACAGATTAGATCAATTTTTTAAGACCTCAATTCGTTAACTAATTTATAGATTATGAATTCCCTATTGATTTGAGGCTAAAAAATCAACCCAATCTGTATGGATCGGGTCGGTTTCGTAGATTGATGGATCAAATGAACACCCCTAACCGTCTCTAATATGATGGTGCAAAAATAATTGATTTTTCTGACACTCTAATGTCATCAATCCCTGCTCCCCAAGTTCTTTGAGCACAATTCCTTCCCTAGGATCCCCAGTCCTCAGTGATACTAATGTTGAATAAAATGAAGTCCAAAGCATTTTGTTCTTCATTCTTCCTTTCCTGTAACGGAGTCCAAAGACTTTTTCTTGCAACTGTGAAATAACTTTTTTGTGACCAAGTATGGAGTTTATTTGTTTCTTGGTAGTTTTTTTTTTTTTTTACTGTGTATTTGTTCACTGGACACTGGGAATCCAGTTTGGCTTAAACCCAGACAAAATGCAAGTTTGATTGAAAAGTCCATTGTACCAGAGAAGGTCCTTGCCATCGAAGGGAGTAGGTATATGAGTTAATGGGAATTAAGGTGCATCTTCACAGGTTCACTGGTTGATTGCAGGGAAGAAAAATGAGGAAGTTGGAATGTTACAGAATGGTCAAGTTAGAGAAGTCATAGGATAAGGCTCTTTCTTTTCTTGCAGGGTTTTTAAACAGTTGTAGCTTTTTAAAAATTCTTCAGTATGGTGCCATGGCACTCCATTCCGATATGGTGCTGGCTATTTTTATTATTTTTATAAAAAATTTAAAATTTATTTCATATCAATTAATTCAAATAGAAATAGTGTAGGAAAAATAAAATAGAAACATTTCAAAGAGTCGTTGAAGTGAAGGAAAAAAAATACAGAGAGTCAAGTGTATTCTTAATAGGCAGCGTGTAGGCCTCCTATTTGGCGAACCCAATATGTCCTTCACTTGAGAAGTTCTTTGGGTGAATCAGATTTGTATGCCCAACTAATGGAAGTGTTGACACCCATTTTGGCATTTGGGTTGTTGACCCATCTTCGGCCCAATCATGGATCCATAAATCCGAATGTCCTCGGCACCCATTTTGGTAATTGGGTTTTGGCCCTAATTTGATTTGATGAATAGTGAAGTAAATAGTAATATGGGCCAATAGTGTAAAACCTGTGAAGCAATGATATGCTGAAAGATTGGGCCGAGAGGATAATGGGCCGAAACATGCAACAATGAGAGTGGGCTATAAGATATTTTGGTGAATCATTGAGCTGGTCTTTGTTTGGGGTGGTCTGATACAATGAGGAGAGTGTTGGGTTTCATGCGTTGTTGGTTGAATGACATGCCAGGAATTTTAAAGGAGCAAGGTTACATACAAGAGCATTGCAGATAGAATAAAAGATGTTTGAATTTTAAATACGTTAGATAAGGATTATATATTTATCTGGTGTTCAAATAAAGATAAGAGTTAGTATTTAGTTATGATTAGTTAGATTTGAACAATTATTTAAATGTATTGGAATACAACTAGAATGCATGTATTTAGGATTTTTGTTTAATTGTTTACTCTATAAATAAATAAAGAGGCATGCTGTGTAAGAGGTCCAGCATCCTCATAATCAATTTATTATTTTGTTTGCTTTCTCAAGCACTTTCCTTAAATAACATCATTGTTATATCTATCTCTCCCTCCCTAATTCAGTCTCGTTCTATTTATCTCCCTATTTCTGTTTCTCTCTATCTCTTCTCCCTATCACTTTCTATATCTATTTCTTCCCCTTTCTATTCTCTTGATACGTTACTATAAATTATTCACTGGAAAGTCCTTTTAACTAAGGCAATTTTGAACCCAAAGAGGAATTTTTCTGTTCCCTTTTTCCTCGTAATCGTCTGAAAGTTAACTCGCTCAAAGGGACTAAAGTTGACAATTCACATATTGAACCATATATTTGGTTCTGGCACGTCCGCTCCATCTCAATTTAAGATCGGATTTTAGGAGCCGATTTTAGCGTCAACATTTTTGGCACGCCCGGTGGGACCCATCAGGTGAGTAATTATAGTAAATATGCCTCCAAAGCTAAGAAATTCGAAAGGTGTGACAATAGGTGACAATGCGGACGAGGAGAACCAGCAACTCGGCGTTGGTGATGACGCCGATTCATCTATTCCATCCGATCTTCCTTTAGGTCGGGTACTGGAATCGATTATGCAGAAAATTGATGCCCAGCAAGCACAGATTGGTGAAGTACGGTCTCAGGTGGGGGAATCAAATCAAATTTTGGTTTCTCAGATACATGAGATGAGGTCGATGACTGGATAATTAAATCAGATGATGTACGCTCAAATGGAGAAGATGAATCAAAGGCTTGAAACCAGTATATCGACTAATCAAAATCGACATGATCAAGCCGAAGCCTCCCATATTAATGAGTCCATATTTCAGCGTATGACGACACCATTGATACATATTTCCCAAGGGCCCCGAACAAGTATCGTACCACCAAGTGTAGGACTTGGTGTTACCATTGGCAACGCGCTGAATCATATACTCGGCATGCCAATGGGGAATCTACCAATCTTATCAGACCCACCAGCAGTAAATACTGTGCCGGTGTACTAGCCACCAATGAATGATCAACATAATCAGAATGTGCAGCGTCCACATGTGCAGCTGATTCCACCAGCAAGGGATCAGTAAGAAGTAATAGGCAACCTAAACCAAGGCAGGGCTAATCCATTGATACCTCCAGCGGCTGCTGGGGGGCAAGTAAATGCTAATCATCAAAGGAGTGGGTTAATCCATTCATTCCTCGGCACCCAAATGATCCTGCAGGAAGAAATGCAGGGATTGATAGGGCTCAGATTTTGGCTTTAATACAGGCCGAAGTAGCACAAGGTCGCAGACGTGCTCGGTCAGTATACAGAAAGCCCTATCCCGATCATGTCGATGCCCATGAGTTGCCTAGAAATTATCGGTATCCTTATTTTTCTATGTACAGTGGTGAAGAAAATTTCTCTACGGTGCAGCATATTGCAAGGTTCACTGCACAATGTGGAGAAGCAGGTCCTAGCCCTTGGTTAAGGATGAGGTTATTCTCTAGCTCTCTTGCCAGGGCAGCGTTTGAATGGTACAACAACTTATCGGCCAATTCTATTCAGACTTGGGATGAGATGGAGGAAGCGTTCCATACCCAATTCTACCGAACAGAGACAGAAGCTACACTGGTAGACATATCTCGATTATCTTAGTTGCCAAGTGAATCAGTTGAGACTTTTGTTGCCAGGTTCAGAAAGGTTAAACTCAAATGTCGAGTAAGTTTGCTAGAACCAAAATACATCAAGTTGGCATTAAATGGTTTAGACATTGAACATTGCAAGAGGTTTGATGGGGTTGAGTTTCAAGATCTCTTTGATTTGGCAGATAGGGCTTCTCGGTATGAGGAAATACTAAAAGAAGAGAAAGGAAGGAAGAATTCTTCTAAGGGTACTTGGTACAAGGACCCTAATTATGAGGTATTCTCGGCAGAAGTTGGAGATAAATTAGAGGTTGACGTTGCCGAAGTCAATATCAAAAAGCCATACGTTTATGAAGCGTTGGTTAAACCTAAACTGACCACGGGGGGTAATTCATGAACATCAACATCGGCAGCAAGGAAAGGTCCTGCCGATATCGGGAAAAGCTATTCTTTCGACTTGTCGAAAACAGATCAAATCTTCGATCACTTGATGGCCGATAAAATGATATCTTTGCCTAAAGGGCATAGGATTCCATCGGCAAGTGACTTGAAAGGAAAAGAGTATTGTAAGTATCATAACTCTTGGAACCATGCTACTAATGATTGTACTGTTCTACGAGGTGTGTTGCAGAAAGCTATTGACGAAGGCACTTTAAAATTCCCGGAGAAAACTTCAGAGACCATGAAGGTGGATACTAATCCGTTTCCAACAATCACATCTACAAATGTGATAAGCTTAGCCAAGCGAGAGAATTGGCAGGAGGCTGAAAAGATATCTGGTGAGTTCCTTTCATCAACTGCGACACCTGAAAAGATGGCAGAATTGCAGAAGCAATTAAGGGAGGCTCAATTAGCTTTGATTGATCATGGTTGTTGCCCAAATTGCAAAGGAAAGCAACAACCAAAGGAAGATGTACCAATGGAGGTTCAACCAAAGAAGAAAGGAATTCTTGAGAGGCTTATTTTCCCATTGAAGCCTGGGGAGGAGCCTCAGCAAGGTGGTACCAACAACAGCCATTTGAAAAAGGGGAGGCCAACCCGGCAAGTTGATATATCTAGCTGATTTCATCCTCAAAATCGGCATCCCAGTTTTAAGAGGTAGTCGCCGGTTCAGTCAGAAATTTGGGTACAGAAAGGAGCCGATTCATATAGAGTACGAACTGTGAAACCAAGGACAGACTGGACTGAAGATAGATGGACTCGAGTTAATCATCCAAAGTTCCTTAAAGCTCAACAATCTTAAAATGGGGGCCTCACTCGATCTTAGAAGCGTAGGGAATAAAGGAGAAGGGCTGAGGGAAAAAAGAGAGCCGAAGGAGGAAGCAAAGTAGTGCAAGCAAAGGAAATCGGCATTCTAGATAAAGATGAACTGGATGAAGAGCATCAGCCGACGTGACCTAGACGTAACACTGAATTTAAAATTCAGTTTGGCAGTTTCCCAGATGAGATGTCATGTAACATGATATTTGTATTACCAGCAATGTTCCAGGCTCCATCGGCATCAAATACAAATACTGAGAAGAATGAGAATGAAACTCAACCGATTTGGAATTTATCAATTCTTTCCTCAGAATCGGTAGAGAAAGTGGTTTTTGAAAAACTTTTGTTAGCAATGACTCAACAGCTCAGGCTTTTGTATGTTAAGGTGTGGGTAGAAGATCAACCTATTAATCGAGTCTTGGTAGACAATGGCTCGGTTCTGAATGTTATTCCAACAAACACATTGAAGAAACTTGGCAAGAGTATGGAAGATGTTAAACCTACTGATGTAGCAATTTGTGGTTTCAACGGAGGCTCTACTAGCACTAAAGGGATCCTTCCTTTAAAAGTATAAGTTGGAGGTATGACGTCTTTTGCGGCATCTTTTATTATTGAATCCACAGCTTCCTATAATTTGTTATTAGGCCGTGACTGGATTCATCCAAATATGTGCATCCCATCATCATTACACCAGATGTTAATTTTTTGGGATGGAGATAAGGTAAAGATAGTGAATGCCGATGATAGGCCATTTGTGGCAAAAGTATACTCGGCAGATGCTGTTTTATATGACGAAGAATGAGTTCCTATTCGGTTTATGGGAACAGGAGCCGATGGAAGACCAACCTCGGCAACCATGAGAAGAAGTCTTGCCGATTGAGAAATTGGCGAGTTGCAGCAGGAGAATTCCAGGCTGAAGGTAGAACTCCCTCGGCTTGCTATAATTGAAGAAGTTGTTGATAGAAGCGAAACTTAAAAGGGAAGTTGCTCGGCAGCAGGCCTTTAGGGCCACTTGCATTAGGCTACAAGCATATATAGCCGAAAAATGGCTAGAAAAAGAAGGAATAATAGAACCAGGACCATCGGTTAATCTTACTGAGATCGATCGGTTCAGTAGTGAAAAGTTGGATGCAATTCAGTTAGGAGACTTGGAGTTAGCACCGGCTAAGCTCGATGATATTAAAGCAGAAACTCAGGATCCATTAAAGAAGGTGAATTTAGGCACTGACGCAGAGCCTAGACTAACTTATATCAGTGCACTGTTAGAACCAGAATTACAAGCCGAGGTTATCGGCATGTTGAAATAATACAATGATTGTTTTGCTTGGAATTATGTGGAAATGCCTTATTTATCCAGAGATCTGATGGAACATCGGTTGCCCATTAAAGATGGCTACAAGCCATATAAACAGCCACCTCGTTGAATGTCTCAAGAAGTGGTAGATAAAGTTAAAGTAGAAATCGAATGATTGTTGGATGCTGGCTTCATTCGAATTACAAGGTATGTTAAATGGTTATCAAATGTAGTTCCTGTTATCAAGAAGAATGGAAAATTACGTATATGTGTTGATTTACGAAACATAAATTTGGCAACTCCAAAACATGAGTATCCAATGCCGATAGCCGATCAGCTGATTGATGCGGCTGCAAAACACCAAGTTAAGTCTTTTATGGATGGACATTCAGGCTATAATTATAGTTATATAGCTGAGGAGGACATTCCAAAGACAGTTTTTAGGTGTCTTGGATCGATTGGAACTTTTGAATGGGTGGTAATGCCTTTTGGGTTGAAGAATGCTGGTGCTACATATCATCGAGCCATGAATTCTATTTTTCATGATATGCTCGGCAAGTTTATGGAGGTATATATTGATGATGTGGTGGTGAAGTCAGCAATGAAGAAGGAACACTTAGTATACCTCAAAGCATCTTTTGAGAGGATGAAGGCTCATAAGCTAAAAATGAATCCAATAAAGTGTGCCTTTGGAGTATCGGCTGGAAACTTTTTGGGTTTCTTGGTTCATCAAAGGGGTATAGAGATTGATAGGAATAAAGCTAAAGCGATTATTGATGCTAGTGTACTGAGAAGCAAGAAACAGTTGCAAAGGTTGCTTGGGCAAGTGAATTATCTTCGGAGATTTATTGCAAATACAGCTGGGAAGTTATATGTGTTTTCCTTGCTACTTAAGTTGAAGCCGATGGAAGAATTCAAATGAGATGATATACATCAAAGGGCATTTGAACATATTAAGAAATACTTGTCGAGTCCTCCTGTTATGATGCCACCAAGGAAGAAATAGCCGATGAAGTTATATTTATCGGCTGCTGAAGAATCCATTGGAGCTATGTTAGCCCAAGAGAATGAGGCAGGAAGTGAACAAGCAATATATTATCTCAGCCGAGTTTTAACTCTAGTCGAGTGTAGATATACACCGATTGAGAAATTAGGTTTGGCTTTATATTTTGCAGCAATGAAATTAAGAGTCTATATGTTACCTGTTTTTGTTTATATTGTTTGCCAAACCGATCTTATAAAGTATATGCTATCAAGGCCATTAATCACAGGCCGGATTGGCAAGTGGGCTTTGGCACTAATGGAATTCACCTTTACATATGTTCCATAAAAGGCAATTAAGGGAAGAGTATTGGCAGATTTTCTTGCCGATCATCCTTCGCCTGAAATTGAGTCACAAGTATTTGATGAGCTTGAATCGGCATCCATATTCTTGACTCCATGGACTTTAATGTTCGATGGTTCAAGTACCAGTGAAGGCTTGGGAGCTGGTATAATGATAATATCCCTAACAGGGAATCAAATTTCGTTTTCCTTCTTTTTGGATTTCAGGTGTTCAAATAATCAAGCCGAGTATGAATCATTAATTATCGGCTTGGAAATTCTTTTGGAAATGGCAGTCAAAGATGTTGACGGTGGCCGTTCCGTGAACGCCAAAATTGATGTAGTGGATGCTTAGTTCAAGGAAAGCTTTTTGGGTTAAGTTTAAATTTATAAAAACCACTACCAACACTACTACTAACGTAGCAAGAGTGAGTAGGGATCGTCCCAAGGGATTATGGGGATTGAGCAATGTCGGAGTTGATTATGGAATCGCTATTAGGGTTAGTAGGTCGAGTGATCAAACAATTGGTTGGTTGGTTGATTAAAGAGCAACTAAATTAAACTAAGTAATAGCAAAATAGTGCAATTAAGAGTAAGTAAGAGAGAGAAGAGTCTTGGGGTTTAGAAATCACCACCAAGCAATGCATTTCTATACTATTGACAAGTAAGTAATGAGGGCAATTAGGGTGTTGCAATATTGGTGTGTGTGTATTTGGTTGATTCAATAAGTAAGGATGACTAGTTAAGCATGTATTGTCTAAACGTCATGTAAAAGGCACAATGTATCTAAGTAATGAAGCATATATTGTCTAAACAACATGTATAAGGTACAATAAATCAAAACAAGTCATTAATCATTTCATTAGGCTCACAATCCAAAAACAACACAAAATTAGAGACATATGCTACTTGTATTCAAAAGCTTGGAACATCAAACAACAAGTATGGATTGTCCTCCCATTTAACACTACACTACAACTACACTACTAGTATGAAAATAAACTAGGGGAGAGGCACAATCCATCAAGAGATAAGCATGAACCATCAAGAGAATCACAAAAGCATTCCTTTAAGCACTATGTTTTGACAATCTCTAAATCCATGGCATCAATACACATAGACACGCATCAACAACACAAAATCTAGAGACAAGAACATGAACATCAATTCTAGCATACATAGACATATGGATAGAATGAAATGATCAATTGGAAGCATTAAACCACACAAATCATTGATTAAACAAGATCTATATATATCAAAGTGTCAAAACATTAATTACAACACTAATAGCTCAATAATACACAAGATTAAGATATAGAAAGCATGCTTGGGGCTAACTCTAGCCCCAAGAGGATGTCTAGCCACTCATGGTGGGGATGCTCCAACCCTCAAGGGCTAACTCCATGGAAGAGGTTTGCTCCTTGTTGATGAAGAACTCCAATGGCGTCTTTAGCCTCCTCCTCCTCTAATCTTCCTCTCCAAGAGATGATATAAAAATAATGTTGGCTCCTTTTTTGAAAAAAACAATCCTTATCCTTATATAGGTAGGTCAAAATGACACCCAAAATGAGCTGGGGTCGTGCACACAATGTTCCCTAATGATTGGATAAAGGACAACTTTCAATGAGATTGAATTTTAACTTTTTCGCACTGGAGGAAGTTCGATCGATTGAAAGGAAGTGAGATCGATCGAAAGTAAGTGAGATCGATCGAACTTAGGCTGGATCGATCCAACTGGCTGAGCTTTTCGGAAAAAGACAAATCCGAGATATTTATGGGAAAAGGACAAAAGTGGTTGGTGGGTGGTACAGCCATGGATAAGATCAATTATTTGGATAAGGACAAAGGTGTTCGATCGATCGAAGAATGATGTTGGATCGATCAAACTTTTGGACTTAAGTGCTTTGGGTCAAGGCTTGGATCTATCTTGAAGTGCTGAGATCGATCAATGTTCGATCGATCGTACCTTGGACTTGGATCGATCGAACTTGCTGCTTTGCTTCATTTTGCTTCTTTCTTCCTCCACTTTGCTCTTTTCTTTGATTAATCCCAGAATTGCTTCAATTAAGCTCTTATTTGGCTGAGTTAGCTTATTTTCGGGATAAGTGCCTGAAAATAGAAATAATACGAAATCAATCTAAAACAGTAAAGTAAGATAGATAAAGGTATTAGAATGCCTAAGCTTAAGGGGTTTAAATACGCATTTTTCAGTGCTCATCACACCTCCAAACTTAAATATTGCTAGTCCCTAGCAATGAACTAGAAAGTAAAGCAATGAAATGAACAACTATACAACTATAACTAGAAAGCAATAAATGGATAACGCCACTTTCGTAGGGAACACGATTGCATTTAGCATATGCAACAAGCCTTTTAAACCCCTAGGTTACCCCTAGTGGACGAGTGAAATCTCGTGAGGGTTTCCAGAAATGGTACCCACAAATATTAAGCTCATTTTTTTCAAAAGAGGTACCAATATTGCAAATAAGCATTGGGAGAAAACTACCTCAAGTATGCAATTTTTCAACCCTTTCTAAGCAATCTCTCAAAATCTCAACATTAAGCAAGCAAGTATGGTCCTCCACACATCAAGGAAATGATCATGCAAATCAAAACAACTCTAGAATTCTTTTGAGTGGACTGGCATCAATGTGTTACTATCTTAGCCAACTAAAGAATTAATCACATCCTTACCGTCAAACTAGCACACAAATCTAGTACCGATCATCAAGACAAAAAGTGGACCTTTTATTAAAGCTTATTGTTCTAGGTGCGCTTATTCTTTTCACTTATTTTTTTTTTTAGAGGATCAAAGATGGAAGCATAGTGCAATGTATTGATCTATTAAGCTTTCTAGCGATTCATGAGGTCGAGCGTTAGGTCAATGACTCCCAAACTAGACGGCTTTAGGGCACTAGGTGTTCAAACACCCCTACGGACTTACAAGCTCAAATTAACTAGGCTACAAATCAAGACAACAACCATCTAATCATTTCCCACTTCTCACCATTTGGGAGAAGTCCTCACTTTTATTGCTTTTGCAACTTTTTTTTTTGAATAAACAAGTTCAATTATTAACCTAAAGTTTGGGCCCTCCACCTTTCGGCGCGAGAAGTTTAGTGCTTGATGAGGTTAGAATCCCGGCTACTTAGTGAAAAGGGGTTGTTATCCACCTTTATCAAGAATGAAAGCTTTCAATGCACTACTAGCTCAATTGGGATATAACCAATTCAATAATTAATAAAGCATGTACCCCACAAATGAATACTAGTGTGAGCCCGTGCTAGTGTAGAAGACTAGAGTGAATCTCAAAACAATCACAAAATCAAGATGAAGAAGCAAGATATCAATCTTTCAAAAAATTTACTCCTAAATGGCATTCATAAGGCATACAAGGAGTATTGGACTCTCAAGTTAAGCAATTTTTAAATTTTAAGCAATATAGTCCTCATAAGATCAAAATCATAGCTAGGTATGGACCAATCATAGAAATATCCCTCAAATACACGAGTCATGCTAAAAGTTTGGATTTAAAATTATCACTGTAGAGCACCATTCCCCCCAAACTTAAATAGCACAATGTCCTTAATGTGCAAGAGAACAAAGGAAAGAGTATACCAATGTAACTAAGCAAGAATGATTGGGACTGAAGTATTAGAAGTGGGTGGTATAGCCCCCCCAAACTTGGAATGAACTGTGGTCCTGAAAATTGGCACCTGGATAAACTTATCAGATAACAAAATAGGATAATCAGTGCACAGTGAACATGCAAGTGTAAATGGGATAAACAGATAACGAAATGAGAGAGGTATAAGGGTGGTCCTGAAAATTGGGTAGCACTCTCTCACTGAAGTCACTGTGATGGACCTGATGGAGTCAAACATACAGATATGAGAATATAATCATATGACATCCATAGCAAAAATAGATATATAAAACAGAGAAAGTGCAGGTACAACAAAAATATCAAAGCCGACAGACCGGTTGTAAAAATAATACAGTGACAATAATAAAATATCAAAAGGAGAGAGGGATCATAAGATAGAAAAGAGTAGGAGCTCAGGAAGATGAGATAGGACGGGTAGGTCTGCCTTCGCAGATGTCTTTAGATAAATCTCTGAACATGGTCGCGACATCCGTGCGGAAGGTAGCGAACTCCGCTTTGTGGGCCGTGAGGTCAGCTCTGATGGCAACAACAGCGTCCTCGAGCGTCTGCAGACGCATTCCAAGCCGGGGGTCAAGTCTGGTATGGAGGAGTCAGAAGACAGCTCCTGGGTCTGCTCCTGTTCATGGATAGGTGACCCGGCTGGAGAATGCTGAGCTATGTTATCCGCTGAGTGCTCCAAATGAATGTCTATATCAATATCATCATGCTCGGCAGCTAGATCGACTGGTGCATCATCCGCTACGGGAGCTGCTGCTGCTGGCTCTGCTGGTGCCGGGGTTGCCTGTGCTGCTGCCTCCTCCTCTAACTCCAGCTTTGCAGCCACCAGTACGGCATGGATCTGCAGGTGAGTGATAATAGCTCTGTAGCTTTTGTCCCAGTCCTTCTTGAGGAAGTGACAGGAATCTCTCTCGGGGTCCTCCTACGGGTGGATGGGATAGCGCTGGTCAATGAGAATCTGGGTGATGAGGTGGCTGAATGGAAGAGACTTGGTCCTTCCGGGCGCCTCTTTGCTGACGTACTCATTGTAGAGCTTCCTCATCACGCTCCAGATAAGCGTAGGAATAGACACCCAGTGGCAGGTATAGAAGGCGTACAGGGCTGCTAGATAGTCGCCCCGCCTCTGAATCTTGTGTCCTGCCATGTATATGTTTCGGTAGAGCACTGAATCTGTAAACCATAGGTCATCCAGCAAGAATGTCCGGGTGGCGAAGGTCTCGCCACCGACATGGTGACCTGTGAGAAAAATCGCCATATCGGCGTAAGAAGGCCTGGAGCCTGGGATAAGTCTCCTAAAGCTCTGGCGGGCATCGATGTGGACAGTGAGTCCAACGGGCCAGAGTATCCACTGTAATGGTGATCTCATGGCCATCGATAGAGGTGATGAGCTCGGCTGTAGTGCGCGGCGACGGTCGGAGGTTCTGGTAGAACAACCGTACCAGTCGCGGGTAGATCGGCTCTATGACTGGGACAAGAATAGCTGAGAGGCCCCGCTGAATGATGTCCTGATAGGCAGATTGAGTCAGCACCGATCTGGAGAAGAATGCAGTGTCGAATGCTAACTCGTGCTCGATAGTCATGTGTGCAAATCTAGGCGCGAGCCTATCGCGCTGTAGATGAGCTGGCTGAACAGGTGGAGCCGACTGAGCTGGCTGCTCAACGCCTCTATGCGGTGGAAATGGTGATGG